AAATACCAATAAAAATCATAAAAATATAACTATATACATAAAATAATATCATGTCCCAACTTTGTGGATGCTCTCTGAATTACATAATATATTTCAAATCACCTAATTGTATGCCAGGCTAAAAAGCAAAGTTTTCAAATGACGCTTAAATGTGTTAATATCAGTTATTGCGCGCAATTCAAATGGAAGGTCATTCCAAAGTGCAGGCGCAGCTGCAACAAACGCTCTATCCCCTAAGGTGGCCCGTGTGCGAAAACTAGGATAAGCTAGCAATATTCCTGTAGATGAACGCAGATTGTAGTTGCCTTGACTCTCGATTGAAATCAATTCTTTTATGTACGGTGGCGCGAGACCATGAATGGCCTTAAATGCAAATAGCAGTATCTTAAAGTGTATACGGTACCTAACTGGTAGCCAATGCAGCTCGCGCATCAGAGGCGAGATATGACAAAACCGCGGGGCGCAGCATACCAACCTTGCCGCAGTATTCAAAACTCGTTGCAATTTATGCAAATGCTTTGCAGGTAAACCATATAACAAACTGTTACAGTAATCAACGCGTGATGTTACAAATGCATGCACCAAAGCTTTTGTGTCCTCTGGACTTAAAAACTTACGTATGCGGTTGATATTATGTAGATGGTAGAAAGCCGCACCAGAAACTTTACTGATATGAGTATTCATGTTGAAAGTGCTATCAAACCAGGCCCCTAAATTCCTTACTACTGGTTTTGCTTCGATATATGAGTTACCAACTAGTATACTATCAATATCTAACTTAGCTAGTTGTTGCCTAGTACCTAGTAAAAGAAATTCATTCTTATCGTCGTTTAACATCAGACGATCTCTAATCATCCAGTTCTTTAAGTCTGTGATGCATGCACGCATCACACTAACCGCAGCATCAGCATCTTCTTGTACATTGGGACTGAATGCTAAATAAAGTTGCGTATCATCCGCGTAACAGTGGACTTGAGGAAGATGTCGCTGGACGATATCGAAGAGCTTGCTCGTATAAATGCTAAACAGCCCCTGAGGTACCCCTTGACGCAGAGGAAAATTAGAGGAGAGACCCCCCTTCACCAACACACGCTGCGTTCTCTCCACGAGGTATGATGTAAACCAATCAAGAGCCTTTCCGCCGACACCAAACTTTGTCTTCAGCCTCTGTAGCAGATTACTGTTGTAAGCTGAGGTCAACTCAGTATTATTTGCATATTTCTTTGAACAGAGTTCTGTTTGATTGAGGTCAGAGCGAAGCTTATCTATATCAATGGACTTCAGCTTTCTATAGGAGATTTCTCTGACCATCCGTTCAGGCTTCGAGGAGTTGAGTGAGCAGAGAATAGCTGCATGATCAGAGAGGTATCGATCCACCATGGGAAGATCAGGAATGATCGAGTCATGTTCACGCGTGATCAGTAGATCAAGAGTATGGCCACTTGTATGGGYTAGGCCAAAGACATGTTGTTTAAGCCCCATGGACAAGAGCAGGTCCWAAAACACCCGAGCATCAGGATCTTCAGGGACATCCACATGAAAATTAAAATCACCTACCAGTACAAGGGACTCCGGTACTAGAATTATTGACTCTAAATACGAACTGAACTCCTGGAAAAACACTTTGGGCGTGACTGGATGAGCTTGAGAGTATGGCATACGGTAGAATGACAAGTCTTACCCTTAGCGACTCAAATTCAACTTTCCACTCCGAAAACTCAAATGAATTGGTCTCGCCAGCATCAACTTTCTTGGCATCAATGTTTTTCTTAAACAGTAAACCAGTTCCACCCCCAGAACGATCAACACGATTCACGTGTAAAGATGAGAGTATGTGGACCGCGTGGCACTCCAGTTTTGCCGCCATATCCTTGTCTCGCAACCATGTCTCTGTGATTGCAAATAGATCTACATCCATGGAAAGCACATATTCTAATAGATCCGACGATTTGGACTTGATGGATTGAACATTAGCTAAACAGAGAGTTAATAGAGAAGAACAGGCCTTTCGAGCGGACAACAATGGCGATCGATCAATAACAATGCAGTTTGTACTGTTCCTACAACGAGAGGTGACAGATGGAATATTTAATAAGCTCTCTCCAGCAGTATGCAAATTATTCTCCTCTATCTCTGAAAGCTCATCCACCAAGTTGAAACCTACATTTTCTGTATAATTCCGGTTCTTCGGCAGATTCATAACAACTGGGATCCTTTTCTTCGCAGCAGTGCCCGCTCGGCATCCTCTACGCGTAGGTTTTACTCGAGCAATTCCAACTTGCACCAACGTTTTCCATAAGATCGGTTCTAGTGTTCGACTAGTCATAGACAAAAATATTGAAGATAAAGCTATTTGAGTATATTGTAGCATCATTAGACATTAAGACTCCAAGTCAGAAACCAAACATTCAAGCTTGCGGCAACCAGAATAAATATGGAGTAGATGGTGTGGATGTAAAGTAAAAAATTCAGAGAGCTCGAAAAAGCAAGTGCTGCCGCAAGGCGCTCATTTATACTGTATTACTAGAATATATTAACAGAACAGAGTCTTTCCGAGAAAAACCATATAAGAAGGTATCACGTGATACTATCAGACTTGACTATAGACAAGAGCTGCTTCAGCTTCAGCTGCCAAGAAGGCTCAAATTCCTATTTAAGAGATATTAGAAAGAACTGAATGGCCTTCTGCTCGGACATTCGCCACATTTTATAGCAAAGAAGTAATCTGCTGATGCAGTTTTGCAACAGTAAGAATTGTTGTGCAAGATTACAGATGAAATTTAAATACAATTTATTTTCACCCTTGCTTGTGAAGTTGGTGTGTCAACATGCTTTGGAGTCTCGTGTAGTCTCCTGTCACGTGACAGTGAGGTAGAATTTGAAAATTAAACGACACTTACCTGTAAGTGGAAGTTTGATGGTTATTCTACCTATAAGAAAGTGACTGAGAGACTACATGCCCTCCCTATACCCTCCCTTTAATATTCTGAACATAGTTTATTGTTGATTTTGTTAGGTGTTTAATTGACACACCAACTTGCTACTTTAAAAGAAGACCAGTAAATGAGCACGCATATCTCATGTAATCTCTCAGTCACTTACAGATCGGTAGATTAATTTTTAAATTTTTCATTGACCGTCAACTTCAGATTTATGAATCTTGTAATATTTTCTCTTCAGTTAAAATAAAACTCGGTATTAAAACCGAAACAGAATCATGGCAAACCAAATTTCAAGTAAATATACATAAAATTTGCTGAATGGTAACGTGATTTACATTAAACCATGGGACAACGACATCCATTAATTTCTAGAAGATGAAAAAGAACGGGTATATCTATCTCTTGAAAATACGGGGTAGAGGCTGTCAAATGTTAGAAAATACAGTCGACTCTCCCGTAAGCGACCACCCTGGGGCCAAGAGAAGGTGGTCGCTTACGGGAGATGGTCGCTTACGAGAGAGTTAACACAGGAAACCCAAACAATGGGAATCCTAACACAGGAAGCCTAAACAATTCATAATTTGTAACTCACGTGTTACAACTACTGTATTAACGACTAAACTGTTTTAGTAAACTGTGCTATATGTTTACAGTACTAGAATTGTCAATATTTCGTCGGGTTTTTAATACCCGATGACTCTATGTTCTTAATTTTTTAATCTTTAAAGGATCTGTCATTGACTGGTGGTCGCTTACGAGAGTGGTCGCTTACGAGAGAGTTTTTTTTACAGAGTTTATATGGGGAACAAAACGGGAAATTCAAAAAAATGGTCGCTTACGGGAGATGGTCGCTTACGAGAGTGCTCGTTCAAAGAGAGTCTACTGTATCAATATTTTTTCCCTACGGAAGATTGTAACTTTCCAATTTTTGCTTTTATAAGTCTATTCTGTTCTTTGTGACACGCTTTTTTAGCCACCTGTAAGAACTATAAAAGAAATCGCAACAACTCACGTTTTGAGCTTTTTACATGATTCTTTCAGGGTTTGCTCCAATAATACCAAGGGGGGAAAATGACAGCAGCAGAATGTATCTTGCTGAAGATATAAAAGCATGGCTTAAAGAACAACACGTTGTGGTAGTAATTGTCCCATTTCGGTGAGAATGAGTGTTACTTATCATACGAAGCGTGCTCAAAGTGCTTCTTAGTCGAAAAACAAAACAAAACAAAACAACAACAACAACAAAAAAACTTGTAAATTTATCATCTATTTTGTATATTGTCATTGTGAAGTATATCAAGAGTTCAAATAAAGATAAAGATGTAAAGATGTAAGAGAAACACGAAGCAAGGTGACACCTTCAGACTTGTCCTTTGTCACCAAGTTTGTGGCTGTATATTTATTCATTACTGAAATCAAAGATTATCGTCCAATCACTTATCAGTATCTGACGGTGGACATGGTTGAATCAGCAAAAAATGAAGGAGGCTTCGTAGAGTTTTTTTTGGTGCTCAACAGGTCGACTTTGGACGGCCATAGCTCTTTTATGCAAGCACCCACAATTTTGAAATTTCGCCCATTTACTGCGCGAAGATTGAAATTTGAAATGATGTACATTTCACTGGAATCGGAGTTACCATACCAACGAAATAGTGACGTCACGGTTTTTAATTAGCAGCAATTTTATGCCTTATTCGATCCCAACTCGAACGAGAGTAACCACATAGTGATAACTGCCTCAAAGTAAGGAAATTGCATATATGCATGCAGGAATGCTCAAACACGTGAACACGAAAACAACAATATAGAGCCGAGAACCTTGAGCGCACAGCTACGAAGAATAACATGACGGCTCACTAATGCCTAGAAAAAGTGCAAGATGCAAAGCAGATGGAGTTATCCAATAACGTTAGGACTAGGCCCCTACGTAGTCACTATGCGTGTCCTCCGTGAAGTAAAAGTTAAGTGCAACAACATATTTTTTTCTTTTCTCAGCATAAGAGGCCTTTAATTTGTTATACCAAATTTACTAAATGAGTTTCTGGATGGATTGGCCGGGTTTAAATGGAATTATTAGAAAAACAAGCCATTGAGCAATGAAAATCTATTCGCGTCAGTGAGCAACCATAGCTATGCAAATATCTTTGACGTAAAGACAACGAACCTTGATTTGTTATTTTCTAAATAGACTATGTTTTCCTTGACTTTGGTAAAAGTATATATTATTAAAGTAAAACAAAGGCCTTTCTTAGACTACTATCAAAACTTGATCGATTGACATCGTTTCGATATCTCAGATGTCTGGTACCGAAAACGACGAAACCGTTCTAGTGAAAAGCGGAAACTGAAGCGAATTATTTTTAGAAAGATGAGGTTGTTATTCGAAGGAGTCCATTTTTTAATTATCTATAATACCATAATGTTAACTTGATTTCCCTTGCATGAAATAAACTTACCTTTATTTGCAGCATTGACGCTGGACAAAAGACAAAACAAGCACAAGCAATGAGTAAACGCAGAAAAAGCCATCCTTGAAACGATGCTAGACTTTGAATATGCCAGAACTTAATGTAACCCTATGACCTTTCTAATTTAACGAGTCTGCGTCACACGTAGACATTAATAATAGGACTGCATATAAAAGTAGGAGAAGTAGGCCCATAAAAGTACTAGTAGTGGAAGTTACTGTAAAATCTCAGTTATAGGCCGCCCTTCCCCTTAGTTACAAGCCCTCTCAGTTATAAGCCCATAAAGACAGACAGATAGACAGACAGACAGACGGACAGACGGACAGACAGACGGACAGACAGACGGGCAGACAGACGAACAGACAGACGGACAGACGGACAGACAGACTATAGTGCTATAATTTTCTTAAGTGTATGACGCTTCTTTACATGAGAGTAGTACAATAAAAATCCTATTTACAAACAATGTGTGAAAGATTTAAATTTTGATTTAAAAGAAAGATGAACTAACTATATAAAATGCATAAATAATGAATTCAACCAGCTTAAGTAAAGCATAAAGTCACTTAATACTATCTGGTTGCCAGTCAAACACATTCTTTTTAAAAATAATCCTTGAAGATGAAGATGTTCGGATTTGTCAGAGGGAATAGAATTCCATAATTTAGCTCCTCTATAAGAAAAAAATTTTTTACAGGAATTCTGTTCTCGGAATGGGTTGAAATTCTGATTTACCTTCATTATCTCTCATTTTTGATTAATAAGTATTTGAATCCTTACTTTTGGTAAAGAGATCGTACAAGTAAGAAGGTGTATTTGCATGTAAAACATCGTACATCATGAGTGATAAGCGTTTTTGACATCTTGTAGCCAAACAATATTCAACTGTTGCAGGATGTCTGCTGACCTTACATCATAACCTTGGAAGGTTATGATCCTGGCTGCCCTATTTTGAGCAACTTTTGAGGTTGCAAATAGCGGTTGAATAAGTGCCTTATACATAAGTATTAACGTATCAAGAGAGACAAAGTCATAATATGTGCAGAAATTCAAAAATTTAAAAGCCGAAAATTAGATCCAATCAAGGTGTGTATTCAGACTTAACTACATTCAAACTCAGCTTGTTAGCCAACAGTCAACCACTTACACTCATTAGATCTGAATTCACTTTATCATAGAGTTCAGTCGTTGACTTAGATGCATAACTAATTAGGGTGTCATCAGAATAAGGATGAGGCTGAGTATTATCAAAACAATTAGGCAAGTCATTAATATAAATCAGTTTTAAAAAGTAATGGACCTAAATTGAGCCCTGCTGAACACCGCATGTAACAATTGTTGAATTTGAGGTGGAGGATAGTAGTATACAAATGAGAGTTCTAGGTCAAAAGATTGAGGTTCCAGTGAGGTTCCAGTGAGGTTCCAGTGAGGTTCCAGTAAGGTTCCAGTGAGGTTCCAGTGAGGTTCCAGTGAGGTTCCAGTGAGGTTCCAATGAGGTTGCAGTAGGTTCCAGTGACGTTCCATTGAGGTTCCAGAGAGGTTCCAGAGAGGTTCCAGAGAGGTTCCAGTGGGGTTCCAGTGAGGTTCCAGTGAGGTTCCAGTGAGCCCCCCCCCCCCCCCCCCCCCCCCCCCCCCCCCCCCCTCCATCAGGGTCCTTACAGAGGTGACGTCATGCCTATCCTTACTTCCCGGTGTTTCTATTCATGTCTGTTTTTAGCTTGCTGGATTGTATTTGAATTATATTTCTCGCGGCACCTGTTTGGATATTGTCTTTTTATTGTTTAACAAAACAACAACATCTTTTCCAAACAATCAAAGCTCTTCTAACAAGTAGATACCTATACCGACCATATCTACAGATAACTGTATTACACTACAGCCTGTTGCTCTACCGTGAAATTGGTATTGCACTCTTCAAGAAAACTTTATTTACCCCATTTCAAATCAGTTAATCTAAATGAAAGTTTTTAGATATAATGAATAGTGAATACGCTGCTTGATGACATGCTCAAAAACTGCTGAACATTTTGTTTCGTTTCTCAGGTCACTGGTTCACAGCAGTTTTTGATCGGACGGCTGCTGTAGTAGCGCAAAAGTATATAGCTTTAATATTTTCAGTTTTATATCTTCGTACTTGGATAAAGAAACCGCAAAGATTGTTTTATGAACTTTTTATTATCATAACTTAACAAATCTTATGTACAATGATGTTCGATACCAACACATAAAGTTAATGGCGCCACAACAACACGAGTTGAAGTATTTCAATATAGTTTATAAATTTGTGGCTTTTGGTACATGGAAGGTTTACACTGTTCTTCCCACTGAGATTCAAAGTAATCTCTTATTTTCTAAGACATGGAGCTACACAGTTTTCATCCAATTTCGTGAGTAAGATTACAGTTAAACATGGGATCGCAAAGCCTCGGGTTGCAGTCTGTCGTTTCGCATTTTACACATCTGTGGGATGCGAAATGAGGGTTTCGCATTTTAAGGATCTGTAAAATGCGAAATCCTCGTTTCGCAATTTATTGTTTCGTTTTGTTTCGTTTCATGGTTTATGGTAAGCCGTCCAACAGCGACATCACCATTGAAAGTCGGAAGTAAACGGCCTGGAACAGTACTCGAGGAGAGATTGCCTCGAGATCCGTGGAATTCCCTACTTACAAGATGAAGACACGAATGAGATAGTGCAAAAAGTCGGAGAACTATTAGATACTGAACTAGCAGATGATGATATCTCTGTCAGTCACCGTCTTCATGATGATGTATCAACTCGTAAAGATGGTGTCCAAATTGTGAGAGATCCAGCAATAATAGTTAAATTCACTAAAAGGTCTGACCGTGACGACTTCTACAATGCAAGAAAAAACTGAAATGTGAAAATATGATCCAGAAAAAATATTCAATTATTTATTTTTTATTCGAGATGAAGATGTCCCCCAAAATGAAAACCATGAAGTGAAAAAATTAAATTGAAATGCACTACATCGTTTCCTTTGCACTAGGTTTTGTTTTCGACTTTACTACTCTCCACTTAAGGTATTTTGTACACAACCCACCACCAGCCACCCCAGGGGCTAGATGTTGTTTATAAAAAAATTCTTCGACAAAGTTTTGCATGTGCGTCATTTTCACGCTTTGAATTCCTTGTTAATTTTACTTGAAAAACGAAAGATAACTACAGATAATTAATTCAATACGATAATATATATATTTAGGCACTGCCTAAAAGCGGAGCTCCCGATACGGAAGTCACAGGGAGAACAATTTGAATGAAACTGAAAGGTGAAAATAAGATCGGGGGAAAAATCTTCAATTACTTTTTATTCGAAATGATGATAATTTCTCCCATAATAAAAACCATGCAGTGAAATCGAATCGAAATGCACTACATCGTTTTTTGTTTCTGTTTTTTGTTGTTGTATTTTTTTGCGCGAGTATACTCTCCAACTTAGGAATTTCGTATACAACTTACCACCACCCCCAGGGGCTAGTTTTGTTCTTGGAAGATTTTTCGACAAAAAGTTTTCCAAGGCCTACAGTTTTAGGCTTTGAATCTCTTTTACTTAAAGAAAAACGAAAGCTAACTACAGATAATCCAATACAATATCAAGTTTAGTGAAATTTACCTCGGATGTCTTTCATTGAAATCGAAAATCTGGAGATTTAGGACAAATCAAGACCAAAAAACAGACTTGAAAACTGGTTAAGGTGAGCAAAAAATGAGGTTTACTTAAGAGCGGCTGTCCGTAAAAATCAGACAAATTCGAAATTTCGTGGCAACAGTCAAAAAATCGATTTTGTTCATACTTTGAAGTTAGATACGCTATCATATAACATTAACCCCTGTGCACTTAGTTTTGCAAAATTCTTTTTTGTTCGGGAGAAACTTGAATTTTTATGCAGATAGGCAAATATGCTAATTTGACGACTCTGAAATTGAGGTAAATCACCGATCTCGTGTACGAAATACAATCAATACTTGACCTTTCTAACCTAAAAAACTTCAAATATGGTATCTCTATATGCCTCACAATGATTTTCAGACATGTAGCTGTAACGAAGAATTTCTGGAAGAATTATTTGCAAGACACAGTTTTCTTGAGCTTAAAAGTACCCTCAAAACAAGTGAGAATTTTACCATGGCCGATACAACGGAAAAGCGAGATTTTCACTGTATGTGATGTCAAGATGATATTGGTCAAGATTATGGAAAACAAATCTTAGGTAAATGTGTTTTTAAGCTTCTACGATCGATCAAATATGCCTAAATACGTTGTTTCAGAAAGGATCGTTTTTGCATAAATTAGCAAGTAAATGACTGCCAAAATTAAAATAATATTTTTCAAAYCTTTTATAAGCCGTTTGAGACATCAATACTTAGCAAATTTGAGGGATTTTTCTGAAGAAAGAGCAGTATTTACTCTCTACCGCTTCACAAATCATGAATTCTAGGTGTAGTGACGGCCATCTACACAAAACCACGAAAGCGTTGCGTGACCACTGGCGGCCATGACCATTGGGGATGAAGAGTTTTCTTCAAGAATCTTATTTTTTTACCGGCCCAGCCACTTGAGGACTTAAACTTAAATATCGAAGCCCCTTAAACTATGCTTTCTTTCAAAACAATATCCCCCTCTTGTATGCATAACAAATTTATGTAATATAGGAATGCAAACTTTGCTCTTCTCACGAACGCAKCAAAAATAATAGATCGGCTCGTGTTATACGCCCTCGTATTGTGTGTGATCCCTGAGGTAACATTTGTCTAGTTTCAAAAGCGGATCCAGGATATTTTTTTGGGGGGGTCCAAAAACTACATTCAATCAGTGACGTTACTTTTGAGGTCATACATACCGCTATATTTGTTGTAATCTTTCAGAACGCAAACACAACAACTTGATTCGGCTTTCAATTTATAAACCTACATAAGAGTTATGACTTTCAAAAGAAAATTATCTGTAATATGTCGTATTTTTAAAAAAAGCCCTGGACCCCTCCGTTGGATCCGCCCTTGAGTTACGCGAGTGATTTCGGTATCGGTAAGTTATCACATGAATCCCACTCAATATATACTCGCGTCATATATATTGTATTAATTTAGGAAACAAAAACTAATAATGTCGGTATAAATATTTTTTTCTTATAAAACGGCTTTAGTTGAAATGGTTGTTTTTCTTGTGAAAAGATGTGTGCGGACGAGTGGCGTCAATGTAGGATTGTTTTCTTTTCTTATCCTTTTTGCTGGTGTCCACGTGTTGCTCACATCTCTCGTAACATGGTTTTCGAGAATTTTTTCATCGTGTTCTGCACAGCAAGCTCACACACATTATAAACATCCAAGAATATGGGGTGATGTATTAATAGGGCATTCTGTACTTCCTTGTTCATTTTGTCCAGAGCCTTTTCTGGAAGCTTGTCGTCTTCTTGTGCATCTATTTCGACGGGGACGACCTTTTTCTT